ACCCTTGATAGAAAAATAAAATAAGCTTCCAGACCTTCTCTTCTCAACTCCAACCACCCCGGCCTTCTCCTTTTCTTCCCTTTTCTATCCTTCCTCCTTCCACTCACGCCAGCCACACCCAAAGCCAACTGCAGCTGTCCCAATCTTTCCCTTCCCAGTCAAGCTCCTGCAAGCACTCTCAGGCAGTCCCCGCTACAATAGTTTATTATTCTGTTTTTCATTATCAGTAACTATCAGATAAGGTGTCTAATACCTACCCTATAGTTTTTTTGTATTACAGTATTGTAATGTTACTATTGTAATGGAATTACAGTTCTTAACATTATATTAGGGAAGCTATTCAAGTACTGCTTTAATTTCAACTGTTTTAATAAAAATACAGTTGTAATGTTAATGCTATAGGGCATATTAAGATGTCAGAGTTATTATTATTACAGTTACAGCAGCATTAACTTTAATACTCTGGGTTAACTTTTACCTAAAAGGTTAAAAGTTATTAGGTATTTACCTAGTACTTACTTAAAGGTTTTAAGTTATTAAGTACTTACCAACCCCAAAAGGTACAACTGGAACTGCAGATCCTGGCTTTTCTTTTAGTGCTTGGATTAAATGATTTACTATTTTCCAGTCAGTGTTTAAGTCCTCCAATTTTTTCTAAAAGAAAGAAAAATATTTAAGCCTATTATTAAAAGTTTCATAAAAATCTATCATTTTAAAATAAATATTTCACCTATATATTTATTGCTTTTAATTTCTATTCTGTTAAGATAGCATTCAAAACTCATTTGTAATTAGTAGTTCATTGTTCAGGTAGAATCACTGAGTTGAAAGAGTTGATCATCTAATGCAGGGGTGTCAAACTGCCAGCCCACGGGCCGGATGCGTCATGGCAAAACCGTGCCCACCCCATTGCCGGCAATGGGAAAAAAAGTCACGATACATTGCGACACGTCACGTGATGTTGCGAGTTTGACACTCCTGATCTAATGTAATCTCATGCTGAGGTATAAACTTCAATGTTACAGTATCAATAGAAGGCAATCCAGCATGTTTGTGCAAGTCTCTAGTGACACTACAAGCCAATCTATTTAGTTTCAAAACCATTTATACTACATCTGCAATTAGTTTGCACAGGATTCTGTATCCAGGAGTATAAATTTTGTGCACCAAGTAAAGTAAAGATAATAGTGGAATAAGATATGTATTACTGACTGAATAGTAGGATTACATAATACAATACTGCTTACACTGAATGTGTTTTTATTCTTTCATCCATCAAAAAATGAAGTAAAATATTAAATCTTGTTCGCATGCATAATCTTTGTACATCCAGAGCAAAGACTGCATGCATCATTTTGTCAAGTTTGATAATATTAAGAATGGAACAGAAGGGCCACAAAAGGAAATAAATTTGGCAATCATTGTGATATAAAAATATGACCTTTATTTTCCCCCCTTTTTTATCAAGTCCACTAACTGTTTCTGTTTATTGGCATATGAAGAAATTTAGGAAGGAAAATATATCTCTAAATAGGATGGATATCTTTTTTCCTTCCTAAATTCCCTAATATGTCAGTAAATAGAATTTTTTCCATTTCTCTCACAGAATATTAATATCACTTTTTTCTTCTGTGATCATGTTATAGAATTTTAGATAAAACTACTTTTGTCCCACCAAAGTCAAACAAGTTGTTAATTTAAGAAATTAATAAATAATTTTAACTGAAAAGATAACTTTTATTTCTCTGTAGTGTCTCAGGCTCTGCATTTTTAATAATTTCAAACAGATCACATCAAGGACGAGTTTGCAACAGGGGAAATATAATCTATCATACAGTAATGAGTATTACTAAGGTTGCTTCAATACCGTTACTGGTTGAGTAGCTGGTTTTTCTTTATATAAATGATGCCCTTTAGACAAAATTCCTTCCACATCTGGCTGTTTAGATTTTACAGTTGCTTCAATTTCCTGAAAAAGCAAAAACAAAAGTTGAGTGTAGATTAGCTCTATTTTGAACAATAAAAAATCATAGTTTGAAATTCCCCAGGATGTTGTATTCTGGATAGATTAGTTTCTTATTATAAGTAATAATCAAAAATGTTTAGGATACAGGAAATAAGATA